GAATTGAAAACAGCACTGAAACCTTTCCTACGAGTGATAAATTCAAACTTTTCCGGTCTCAAAGTGTCAAGAGATATGTTTACAGAGTCAAGTCCTAAAAATGACAAAAAAGAAAGGGATTAACTCAATTATCATCACTTCTATATTAAGATTCAGGAATTACTTCAGAATTTACTTCGGAATTTGATAAAAATGAAAAAGTACCCTATCTTGACTAATGGATGATAATTTAAAACAAATCAAAATAATCACAAGTAGGAAGTTTGAAAAACAATTCAAGCTCACCAGAAAATCAGATATTTAGAGGAAGAGTCAATAATAAATAATTTACCTGATTCAACAAGCTTTTTAATTGAACGACCAAGAACAAGACCATTAGTGGTTATGCCAATATTTAACAAACCAGAAGCTTTTAGAGCAGTTAGATCAGCAACAATTTGAATACAGTCTGACCTGACTAACGGCTCACCTCCAGTTAATTTGATTTTCTTGACACCGAGCGAGTTAACAAATAACTTAGCAAGCCGGATAATTTCATCTCTCTGCAGCAAAGATTCCTTTGGTGATAAAATTACTCCATTTTCAGGCATACAATATGAACACCTCAAGTTACATCTTTCAGTAAGACTGATTCGCAAGTAGTCATGTTTACGACCAAATGAATCCTGAAGAAATCTTGGTTTGACTGTAGACGATGAAGCAGAAGATGATGTTGAAAAATGGGTCCATGAGTATGTTATATAGCGTTTGGCAATATCTTTGAAAAGTAGCTGGTTAAGAGGTAGCAACATTTTTACAGAAAAAATCACAAAATCCTTTTACGTTTATTTGATTTCACTTGATAATATCATCTTATGATCTTACGATGTCAATTTATTATCAATTATTTAGACAAAGCACAAAGCAAACAATAGAAATAAAAAATATGACTGAATGATTGTAACAAACAAATGTAGATACTTTGATAATGAAGAAAGGGAAAACGGCGGCTAACAAATGTCTTTTGTTTTCAATCATAAGGGGATCATTGAGTAACTATAAACAGTTGCAATTTACACAGATTTAATTAATTTTCACCAATAATTTATCATTTCTAGATTTCACCTAATCAAATCACTCGCAAATCAC